TCTGTGATTAGTTTGTAAGTACAGTTTGGTGGGTTGTTAAAGTAGTTCAAGTACCAGTCATTGATCATGTTCCAGTTGTCACTGTCGAAGTTAGGGTTTGTCGATATGCTGAACGCCTTTTGATAGTGTCCGGCGAATGCGTCAGCCTTCTCTTTGTCTGTGTAACGTTTTATTCCGTTTTCGTCAATTGTGTCAGTAGTGTTAGTTTTCTTGTATTGTGCTAATTTCTTGATTTTTTGCCAATATGTTTTGCCCTTGTCTTTTTCTATTTCCTTATATGTTTCTAACCATTTGTCTTGTCGGTATTGTCCAATCAGAGTTTTAATGTTCCTATTCAGTTGGTTCAGTGTCTTTTTTAGGTCGTTATTTTGGGTGTAAGTGTGTAAGTGTAAGTGTATTTTTTAATTAATACTTTGACACGCTGTAGACGGAAGAGTTTTCGGAATATGGTCTATTAAAGAAATTTATCCAAAATTACTTGCACTATCACCCCCTGCAAGAAATGCATCCACTTACCAAACACCGTGGTCACATTTGCAAATGTACTTTCCTTCTATTTACACGATACTTTACATGATTTTAAATGGATCTCGGACTCCAATAGAGAATATTTGAGATCCCTGAAAAGTCTCCTTGTATATGACTAATTTTCAAAACATTTTAAGTTCTTTAGACTTGTTCCCCTAGAATATGATGCGGTAATAGGTGCCCCGTAAGCTCATGATCAAAATGGTACTGCGATATTCTTTGGACCAGAAGTTTGATCTCACCTAACTTATTAACAAAAAATGTCTGGCTTGTCTGCTGTTGGTGGTCGAAGTTTTTCAAAAAAATTATCTTTTTTGAAATATCGGGAGAATGGTGCGGTATAAATGACTAGTGCATCAACCTAAAAAAAATGAAATTATTTCATCCTCCAACTAAAAAGTTCTGGTAGTTTTTGTACCACGACACTCAAGAATTCACCACTTGTCGACAACGGCTAAACTCGATTGTTTCATCAAAATATGAGTCTTACATAAGAACAAGTTCACAGCGAGTTTCCCTAAAATACATCGTACCATTCTCCCGATATTTCAAAAAAAATCAATTTTTTGAAGAATTCTGCTGATCAATCGCAGAGGAGCCAGACATTTTTTGTTAATAAAAGTTAGGTCAGATCGTCTTCTTTTGGTCCAAAGAATATCGCAATACCCTTTTGCGCACGAGCTTACGGGACACCCTGTATGTTTTGTCTTTTAGATATTATAGTAACAAGTAAGGCTTTTTGGGAGTACTACCATGACAGAAAAATGTAAAAACACACCCAGGTGAGAAGTAGAGAAAAATATACTAGGTATAAATAAAATTAAAATGTATTACAAGAAAGAATTACCTGTATTTGATTAGTATTTGTTCTAGGTGACATTGGGGGTTTCCATGCGAATGGCTGCTTAATTGACTGAAAACTCTTGGGATTTTGGTACGTGCGTGTGTTTGCATAAAGTGACTCACTTCTAATAAAACAATGTATATATATAATTTTAAAATATGCAGAGGATAGTCGATATTTGCATCATCTAAATATATTACCTGTTATACATGGACTGAAATCACGACTTAATTGTTGCTTATAGTTAGAGAGCAAATAAAGTGACAAACTGTCAGAAATTAACTCAAAACAATTGTAATGTGTCATTTTCATGCATGTGTTGACGCATTTCAGTTTAACGCCTAATCGATAGATCTGTGATCTTAAAATAGTGCCAATTTAGCCCTTCAAGATTGCGTAATAATATACCTGGTGTCCCATTTCAATAAATGTTGAAAAGACTTTATTCAAGGCTCGAGCTCCCTGAATATTGGCGCACCATATGAAAGGATAATAAGCCTAATACGAAGATTGTTCTTATTGATTATTGTGTGTTGATTTACCCATTTGCTACATATTGATACTGATACAGAGTGTTCTATTTTAAAAAACCATGTTTGATACATGAGGAGCTTATTTTCAAAACGCAATTTCTAAAAGTTAATTTGATTTGCAGAATTGCACCTTTTCTAAATCTAGCAAAAAAAATGGAAATATGAATTCATTTTCGGTGCCAACAGGAACTTTGGTAACGTGACTATAAAATCCAATGGAAAATTTTGATAAAAAAATTGGATTATAGTTAGAAAGAAAAAAACAAAAAAAGAAAATGCGTTTTGAAAGTAAAATTGTATTTTATAGCGTTTTGAAAAGAAATGTACGGTCATATTGCTCTTTGAAAAAAAAGCTGAAATATTGTGTTTTTTTATTTCTAAGAGAACTTACTCTAATTATAGATTTCCAATTGAAAATGTTCTTTTTAAAAACGAAAGTTTTTATTTTGACGTACAAGATTTCGCGTGCTGAAGGCTTGACAGGGAATACAGATTGCGGGCAAATCGGGGTACTTATAGACTAGATACAGAAATGCTTTATCAACAGAATGTCTGCAATTGTGCTGCTGCGTTCGTGGTTTCCATTTATGGCATGGATATAACTCCAGAGACAACTTGTCTCTGATAACTCTCTAGACTTCATAGGTTAGAAAAAAACACTTCACTACACCGCAATCTTCTTCATTGCAGTCAGAGACAAGTACTTGTCTCTGTTGCAGTCACATTCGATCTCTTCATCGGAAATGTTCGCTTCTTCATCGACTGGATTTGTGGAACTGCTATTTTCATTCTTCATTCTACAAAAACTTGTTGAAGTTTTTGTAGAATACCAGGCGCTGATCATTTTTCTAGTCTTCGTCGTATAAATTTAACAAACTTTCAATATTTTCTAATTTTAAATCCTTTACTTTATGGGTTAACGGTAACAGATTCATTTTTGCATTCCCCATTTGCACTCCTTTTTTCATAATAGTCGTAAATATTTTGCAGATGTCTTCATTTCGGTAATATTCTTCCATTTTTACTTTTATTGTATTTTTTATGTTGCTATTTTTTTCTCTTTTAATAAAAACCCTTTTCATTTGACTAACTCCCATAAGCTTTTTGCAATTAACGTCGCTGATTTTCTTAACATCATAAAGCTTCCAGTCTACTCCAAGCTTTCTTACTGTTCCAACCGCCTCCAACAACTTTTCGTAATCTTCTTTTTGTAAAACCTGATTTTGTTTTCCTCACTTGTGAACCTCACTTTTAGAATAACTAATTTACTTAACTTTGTTGCGTCTTTCCCTTCTAACTTTTCGTGCCCCTTTTCTTCTCTCCTTGATTCTTCTCAGACACAACAGCAGTGTCTATGTAATTCTCCATTGTCCCCATTTCCAAAAACTCTTTCGCAGCACACCGTACGTAACAATGAAAACACGAAGTATTTGCATAAATTGTGATTTGAAACGAAAAATGTAGAATTTGTGGTTTGATAAAAATATTATTGCAGAAATTGCGTTTTGAAAAAAAAAAACACTGAAATTGCTGGGCGTTTCACATGGCAGAAATAGCTTCTGAATTTGATTAGAAATTCAAGTGGCAATCGAAAAAAAGCGCGCTGCGAGTGCATCGCTATCTCTAACTCAGTAGCAGTTTTTTGCAGAAACTGCGTTTTGAAAATAAACTCCTCATATGTAAACCACAGATTTTTGAGAACACCCTGCTTAACGAAAATAATTTTAATGGATGACCACTATTGATGCCAATATTGCACAAAAAATAATTATTGTGTAAGTTTTATTGTCCTTTTACATTTTACCGACTAAAAATTTAACCACCCTGTATAATGAATTACAAATGAGAATTTCTTCTACCACGTCGTCCTCATCAGTTGATAGTAAAATAAAGATTAGTTATCAGAAAATAGAGATCTATGAAATTATGTAGGTATAATCGGTGTTCAAAAAGGCATTTACTTTGAATCTGAACTCTCGTTAGAAATATTTTTGTGAATTTTTGACAAAAAACTTTTGAATACATTTAGCAACATAGTAGTATTCCACATTGCTTTAATTTTAATTAGATATTTTCTGAACGAAATACTTACATTATTTATTGTTTAAAACACTGTGCAACACTGAAGTAAAAAAGGAACAGCCTCATTTATAGTGCTTAAGTGAACTATCGCATGCTGAAAGCATGTATGCAAATATTTTCCCTCAATTGAAAATATTTGCTAAACGTCCTGTATAATTATTTGATTAATTACGTTAGACATCTAAACCATATGGCTGGAAATAAGCTCCGGGAACGATAAACGGAATGTTTCTTTACAAAAGCCTTCGTTTTAATTTCTCGAACTCAAATTGAGACTAAGATGTTGACAAAATTACAAATCTGATCATTAATTCCTTGAAGTTAACTTACGACAAACAATTAACGGAAGAAATACACACTCTGATGTAGCATGTAGAATGAAAGCCCCAAAAGAATTGCATTTTATATTATTAATCAATCCTTTTATAAATTATTGCATAACCAAAGTGGTTACCCTCATGAGTAACTTATTCTAAACAATATCAAAACAAGTATTTAAAAAATGGTTTATATTTTATTCAATTAAATTATGTCAACAAGATTAGATTAGAATCACCTGATTCTGGACTAAAAGAAAACCGAATCTTGAATTGAGATACCCAAACAAATACCACACTTGCAGTAAACAGACCAGAATAAGGTGGTTCCGAAGGCGGTAAAAAAACTTTAAAAAATTTACATAAAGTTAAAATTAAATTATTTTTATTGAACATTATAGCTGTTTGATGAAACTTGCCAACAAATAAAAGTACAGAGATGTAAAATTGAACATCTAATGAACAGTCGCTGTTCATTCGATGCAGACTTTTAATGTAAGCTTTTAACACTGGTCCAATACAAATATAATGTGTAGCTTATTGTAGTTGATGGGAGGACCTCTGGACTTGATAGGTAATATGTTTCTGTAGTTCTCTGTATAGTCCTCTCCGTTTTTTCATGCCATTATTTGTCTAGTGCAGTATTTGTCTTTACTGCAATCACCACCTACAAAACAATATCAGTTTAGATCAAAAATGCTATGAATTAATCCTCATTGGCGGTCAGTCTTGAGTAGATCAAACAAGTTATTTTCATTCATAAAAAAATATTCGCAAATATTATTTTCTTTTGATATAACAACATTTGCTTGTAAAACTGCAGAAAACTGGAAGATTACGAAGGAAATTTTATACACTTAATGAAATTATGAAAATGTTTGGCAGGAAAAACCAGGAATATGTGACATAATTTGTCCATCTTCCAACGATGCAGATTGCCGATTTAGTTTCGCACCGATTCGACCTACACATACATCAATCGTGTGTGCAGGAGATACCAAGTGCATTTCATTTCATTAATAACGCAATGAATAAATTTCGCATTACTTACTTCTTCACCACAAGACTTCAGAACGGTACACAATATATCTTTGCCAGCGTCATATTCAGAACGTAATTGGGCACCAACTTCGCCATCGGGGATTTTCAAATCCTCACGAAGATCACCGTTATCGGACATAAGGGACAGGTAACCATCATCAGAAATATCAGTCAACTGATAATCCTCACGTTTAACATGTGGCACATCCATGTTGTGTGTGGAAGGGCAGATATCTTCATACTTTTTCCCTAGAAAAAATCAACCATAACAATAAATACAATTGCTTTAATTAAATCATCTTATATATGTGTATATATGTACTATATGTATATATATGTACTATATTAAATTCGATCGTATCTGATATGAAAAGTGCATCTGAGTATACATTATTTAGATACTGCAGGGTAAACTACCAGCTCAGTAACAAATGTTGCTCGAACATTCTACGACATCCAGTTCGTTCCTTTTTTGTTTTCCAAGGTTTTTTATGCCCGTAGGGTGGTTCAGGCGCTTGCATAACACCACATATTAGACAATTTTTTAATGTATATTTTTTAATAATGAGAAAGAAGAAATAAAAATGCCACTAACTATTAGGTAAAGCTTAATATTATTTATAAGAAGAATTTAAATCAAAGGGATCTTTGCAATGTAATTCATAATTACAATGCAATTTAATGCATATGTAAACATATCATAACATGTTTGTTAGTTGGACAGACAATCTCCGAAGATCACTGATGATACTGAAACTAAAACTTCTGCACTGTTATTAAAACGGGTGTGCATATTTCTCAAATAAACGCCTTCGCTGCTTCTGGCAGTGTTTTTACCATTTTAAATGGCTTTCGGACTTAAATCGACTTCTATTACTGAAAATTTGACAAATATGAAGTTATTTCAAATATATTTGTTTTAGTTTAATGATGATTGAAACACCGTCTAATGACAAACATTATATAATCTGCTTTCTTAAGACAAATTATTTACATTTAATTCAATTATCACCGTAAATGAACTCCAAACGAGGTTATGTTAAATACCAAGTTTTGAAACTGGCTGATTTAACTTAATGAATTTTCCAATGAAATATTGTACACAATAAAATATATAAAGTAAATGGGTGAAAAGTGTAAGCATCTATCGACTCTCGTTGAAAGACCTTATTTTCAAAAATATGTGCTATTTTTGTTAGTGTTTTCGACGTTCAAAATATTATTTACCGGTAACCCAATGTGAGTGCGAAACAATCGATTTTATATTAGCTACTTGCTACACATATTTTAAAATACAGTATAGTATAGCTTTGTGTCCACAAAAAGTAGATGAATGTCCTTCAATAACTAAAGCCATTGAAGACACCCTAGCGTAACATACAAAGCTTTCCACCAATTGTTAAATATTCATTCCTTGAGACTGATTGGACTCACTGTATATAATTAATGACTTATGAGACATACATATAAGAAGCATAGTCTCATAAAACAAGTCACCGTCCAGAATCCTATTGATTTCTCCTATATACAACTTGACTCGTATAAATTTATCATTACCGAGCTGTAGCTGTATAGAGCTGCCTATTTTCATGTAGGAAAACTACCAAGCTCTACCGTATCCTGAGTCAGTTTCATGAATAAAACCGCTTCATTGAAAGCTTCCTATAAAATGTCAGGCAAATGACAACCAAGAATAAGAACTGATTTGTTCAGATTCCAACGATGATGCCATGATAATTTTGCACCGATTCGACCTACACGTACATTGAAGGTAGGTGTAGGAGATACCAGGTGCTTACAGATAAAAAGGAGAAGTTAAGTTTGATGCCCTAAGATCATTATAATCAACCAAGGTCGCAATAATTAAATTTTCTTAGACTCCTTTCCCTTTGCTATTGAAATTGCTGCTATTTAATTTAATGATCATTAAGCACTGATTGCCTCCTTTGAGTTGATTTTCAGTTTGTTAACATAGGTATGCATAATTACTCAACTTTGATGAGAAGGTAGAAAGCCATGTTGCTAGTATTTTATGGGCAAGTTTAGGGTAAATCGATTTCACCCAAATTTTGGTTCAAAGATGTCAATTTGAGTTTGATACGCCAAATGTGTTTAGTAAGTTGGCTCAAATTCTTTGAAATTCCATTCAACATACCTGAGAAAATATCAATTCCAACCAAGTGAACTTTAGCATGGCCGTGCTTTCCAGTCTTAGATGTGGACATTTCAACAATTTTACAGGGTCTCGACTTCAACATGACGAATCCATTTTTACGCAGAGCTGAGCATTGCATAGGATAGGTAGCGGAGGCGCCGGAGTCTCCAGTCTCGAAATGGGTGTCCTCAATATCCGCCATGGTTTTTGTAGGTTATTTATGACAGCTCCTTTGAAACTGTGAAAAAAAGTGAGCAATATAAAGTTCTACGTTTTTTCAATGAATGTTTTAAGCCTATTTTAGTGGATGTACACGCGGCAAAGACACATGTGGTCAGGACCGAGTCAATATGTTTCAAGCCTCTAATACGGTTATGTTCTTTCAACTATGAAGAGTAATATGGATATTTGTGGTGAAATGTCCAAAAAAGACTTTAAAACAGAACCATTTAGGAGTAATTAGAGATGTATTCCTTATATTTAGCTATAAAGTAATCACTGCAACATGGCGCGAACAGTCACAAAAATCATGCCTTGTCAAAGGCCGAAAAAACGCCGATTTTATCACAACTAAGAGCTTGTCACAAGTGTTACTTATTTTTCAAAATGACCAGGTCGTTTCTCAAGATTTCCGCAAAATACCAACCTTTATAATAGCTTAAAATTCGAATAAATTAAGAAAAAACTGTATACTCACATGTGACCAAGATGGAAACTAATCCAAAAGATAGCCAACTGGCATGCGCCTTAAGAAGTAAACGACAAACGACACTAGCGCCAGAAGATGCGGCAAATTTAAATCTCGATTTAACTGTTTTGCCAACACTTGACTGAATTTGTTGAGTTCACTAGTATTTTCGTTTGAACAAATAGGAACAATTTACGAAAGTAGGAAAGAAGGAATTAGCGCAGTTACAAAGCCGGTAAGTAAAGCCGGTTTTTTAAATCAACGGGTAAATGAAACCAGACAACTTTTATTTACAGCAGCTGTCATTTTTTGTAAAGAATGATGACAAGCATCAATGTGGGACTTTATCACAACGTTGCCTTATCTAGCAAGTTTGCTTGATGCTATATATATATATGCTATAAAAACCAGGTAAAATCAATTTTTGCGCTTTCACTTTTGCCTTTTGCTAGATAAAGACAACAACACTTAAATGGCTAGTGATACATTACGATTAGGCTATTTAAAGTTTTTGAAATTTTAAAATTCTCTTTATTGGCCACGTTTAATGCTTCGCTTAATTAGTTTAAAATATGGCAAAAAATTGACAAAAAAATTAATTAGAAAAGTTCGAAGGGAGAGTGAAGAGTTAAGAAAAATATTGCTATTTCTTTCTATCTTTCGCAATCTTGGAGTCTGTCAATAACGGTTTTAATATAAAACCTTCACTTGGCATTTCAGAGCCAGATTGCCAAGGTTCCTAAATTGTACAGGTTGTTTGGTAATCCTGAGCGGGGAGAGACACGAGCGGAAGGTGTGACGTCACGTGTTTGCCTTTTCCCATTTCTATACGATTATATTGGGGATTATAACGTTACAACTTATTAAAATACGTTTATTTTTGTTAAAACATCATAAACGTTTTAACTATTTCTGCTAATGGTGTTGCGTTTGTGTTGTTTCGACAAGTACTATCGAATACTAACCTGAGGTAGAACAACTTAGCCTTTTGAAGTATTTTTTTTAATTATATACGCCACAATCAACCACAATCGAATAGGTGGCCACACGAAATGGAAAGTGAAAAAGTGAATTACATTTTCGTCGTTTCGTGTACAGAAATTTTCCTTGTCTAGCCAGAACGGTTGGCTGTAGAAAACTAGATTTAGCAACTGCTAGGTGGCTCCAGCATTTAAGGTCAAGTCCCATTTGACTAACCGAATGGCTATTTCGCGCTTATTTTTGAAAAAATCGTTATTATTTGATGAATATTCCACAATTTTGTGGACTATTTTATCGCCGTTTTTCATCCATCCTTTGCCGCTTACATTTTTCTTTGCTGATTCCGGTCAAATCCGCTGGCATGCCTTATTAAGTTTGTTAAATTTCTTTCTCATAAAGCCAGTTGGCTTTTCAAATTTGAATTTTGTTACAGCTCGTTGCCCGACAGTCCTTTCTATAACGAACTGTGCCAAAGTGTTGAAACGCACTCTTCAATTCGCATATCATTAAGCAACACCCGGTATTTTATGAAGTCCGTTTACAAATGAATAGGTACTTACATTTTACTATTTATAAATTAATTTATTCGCTTGTGTAGGCTTCAATAATTTAAAGTGGCAAGCTTGTGACGTGTTCCCGCGCGCTCTCCCATTGGTCCAATTACTAGACAACCTGTACAATTTAGGAACCTTGGCAGATTACAGCAGAAAACAAAGATGAAGACATAGAAAATAGCCAGCTCCTTTTTGTCATTAGTTGCAGCTAACCTAATTCCTACATCTATGATTCCTACCCACTTAACCCAAACAACCAAAAAATATTACATCAAATTAGAATTTGCTTTTCTGCATAGATTAATTTAATTTGCAAAAACTTGAAAAGTGCGAATATACAAATTGCATAATTTAAAGTGTTACAAGTTCAAGGAACAATTCATAAACTGATATAAAGATGTCTTCTCCAAACAAGGAAGATAATACCATTGAGGAACCAGGTACGTTATAAACAGTTGTATATTAAAGACATTTGTAAATAAAGGATCAATCCAGTTAATAAATTGCGCATTTAACTCCTGCGATTAATAACTATCAGAAAATAGGCGTGTAAAAAAGCAACATTAGCTGTTCATTCTCTTACCTGCTAAACATTTTTTTGTTTCAGAAACGTATATTAAAATCCCCAAACGTTTCAGTAACCTGCACTATATGTTTCAGAAATGTTTATGGAACTAAAAATGTCCGCACTCAGAAACATTGCTGAAACGTTGCGCTAAACGTTATTTAAACGTTGCAAATAAATGTGTTGCAACATTATACATGGTGTATCATTGAACAGTACAAATATTATAATTGATGTTACATTTTGGCCCTAGAAGCAGGACTATACGATAGTCCCGCTTCGAGGATCATAATAATATATCACCAGTTAAATATTTGTACTCATCAAAGATGCATAACTCAAATGGCATACAATAACTTATATTAAATAAATAACAAACACGCAAAAATCAAAATAATTCTTAAAACTCAGTAGTCTAGCCAAAGGATTCCCAGTCTTCTTTGAGTTGGGTAGTTTCACATTTTGCAGTCAATCATCGTTTCCGATAGCCTCAGCCTAAAAGTGAAATAAAAATAATACCGTGCTGGACAGTATAAAGTTCAAGATTATGTATGGAGTAGGAATTCAAAATATCCAATATAACTATAAAAACCTGTTAATATGATATAGTTTGATCACGTTCTTGTTCACCAAACGCCAAAAATGCCTGTTAGAAATATTTCTATTATTTGCTCTTATTATTTTACTGCCCTCAAATAATATTCATAAGCCTTTTAGGACCTACATAATTGAACTGAACAGCTCGAAATGAGAGCATCCTAACATCACCCACGTGGTCTAGGTTACAGCAAATTTAGTTACATATACTTATCTATATTAAAGTTTCTTCCATTATAAAGTATAGATACTTACCAATATATTCAGCCCTGTGCTGTATCCCTCACGTTAACTTTAACGTGCATGTTATCCGTTAGACACGTTAAGTGGCTCCAAGTGGTGTGTTGTATCAGTAAAACCTTTATATTATAACAGGCGCACGCTATCGACGAACGTTATATGAAGAAATAGAGCTTCAGAATAACAGCATCAAATCACAAGCCGCTATCGAACTTAACGTGCGTCCCTCTAAGTTAACCTCGGGGAATAAATAAAACAATTGTGTTTATTCAAAGCGTAGTTTTGTCTTTTAGCTATAATCTGTTTTTAATTTAAAAGAAAAATGTCTTGGTGGTCTTATAAGGTTAGCTGTATTAGAACAATTGGTAAATGGTCTTGAAAATAAACTTTATTTTCTTCCACAAACTCTACTCAATTTTCAAATTGTTTGCGGGTTGTTTTTTTGCATCTTCTGTGCATGCTACATTGAAAGCGTTTGTGAAGATCGGTCAAGAACAGTAACGAACGAAATTGAAAGTGAATGCAAATCATAAACAAAGACATGTATGGTGGTAGTAGGTGGGGCAAATGGTCAAAACGTGTACATGTGGTGCATATGTTTTAGAAGCTTCGATGTGTTAACTCTCTCTCTAACTAATAGACTATTCATATAAGGGCATCTCACTTTATGCATTAAATATTTTTTTTCTTTTTTAACGTTTGATGGATAACTGGGTCGGAAACGCATACGTTAACTCGGAGATAGAGCACACTTCAGTTGTGTTGCTGCGTTATCGAAAATGTTATCCTGAACTGCTAAGTTGCCATAACGTGTGGCCGTTACAAATAGCATTTATGATACAGCACAGGGCTGATTATCACTTATTTTGCTGCACCAGTCAAGTAATTTAACAATAAAATCGAAGTAATACAACTACGGGAGCTGCAGCCGCATGTATCAATCGCACAAGCGAACCCAGGCCTTAAACCATTGTTTTCAACTGCGTTTCAACCGAAGTGTGCATCCAAAATGACCAGTGAACAAAGTAGACCCAGTTTCCACGTGAAAATGAATGGATGTATCATCGGTAGTGACAAATCTAAACTAGTATTTTTATAAATTTGGGTGCATCTACATCAAGTAAACAGGTGTGAATACAGTGTGTAAATAAATTGTACGAAGGCACTTTGAAAATGTCTTTTTCGTGGAAGGATGACCATATGGAAACATTTTAATAAATTTATTGAAATTGTTAGTTCCTTCCAAATGTCCGCGAAAATCGTACAAATCTGTAACCAGCGAGTTGAATTTACCCCAGTTAACTGTAAATGATATAAAAGTAAAAATAAAAACAGTTCGAACTAGTTCTGTTTAGAACTTGCAAAAATAAGGAACTAAGATTCACTATTTCAGTACATGGATGAATCATGCGATGCACATCCAAAGAGTAAAGTCTAAATTCGCCTTTATGTTTTATAAGATAATAAATACCATGCGCGATGGGAACCTGTAGAACCAAGAATCTCGTGTGCTCATATGTTAAATTTGTGCAATATAACTGCAAGCTTGGAACGTTTCATATTTAGCGGGTTATTATGAAGAACTCGATGATTTACGGTTTATTAGCCCATTTGCTAATCTCTGGTTGCTGTGTTCCTTTGAAGTATTGCCCCCTGCCACTAAGGAAAGGCTTAATGTTTCCCATTATATTTATTTTTAACAGTAAAATTCACTGAGAAAATCAGTGACTCGCCATTGATCAATCCGATCTCTATTCATCAATTATTTTTTTAAGCCACCAATTACCACGTTTTCTTCACGTTAAAAATATACACTTCTATAATGTATTTAATTTTGTCATTAGGGTGAAAACACTAATTTGAGTGTTTTTTCCTTGGAATATTACCTAAATATATTACTTACCTCTTTAAAGATATAGCCGATTGAATCAAATATAAACCGAGTCGATCTATTTTCTTAATTGCAGCTTAAGTTTGCAACATTTACCAACACATACAATTTTACAACAGAAATTTTTTTCGGGTGAATTGAAAGCTTTTAATACACGTCGACTCGTCGTCGTAGAACTTCGAACGTTCACGGAGCTACTGAAGTACAAGTGCTTTATTTAGGGGTTCAAAACGCAGGGTCACAAGGTGACAAGTCGGGATTGTAGGGAAGATGTTTTTCTGTCCAACGTTTCCCAGCGAAATATGTTTAAATTATCCCGTGTAGCGCTTGCTGAATGAGGCATGGAGTTCTCGTTAATAATTATAATATTTTTGACTGATTACGTCTTTCTTTTCCTTTGATATGATAAATTTGAGGCATCTACTCCATAAGCTCGTAATAATGCGGCATTAATTGTGCGTCGATCGTGGGGAAAATCGACGCAAAAAGCGACCCGGCAATAAAAAAAGTTGCCATAATCTTTCCAGCAAAGTCTCTTTTTATCCACTTTATGTTCGCCGGTTTTGACCGGGGAACGTAGTCCAAATGTGTACCAAATATCATCAGAAGTTATGATTTACTATTCGAATCAGAAACGAAGTTCCCGCGTCTGATTAATTTAAATACAATCCTTTTTCAAACACAAAAGTGGATAAACGCGTTTAAAGGCATTGTTGAATTATTGGATTTTTACGGTCACAATTTCAAATTAAATTTTTGTATATTTTTTTTAAATCGATTTTGTTTGAGGAATTATTGAAAATAAACAGCCAGATTGCTGAATTGAAGTTTACTGTTGACAAACTACGATTTTGCTTAACGACGACGTCTCATTAATATAGACAACTTAAAGAAAATACGTTGAACTTGAAATGTACTTGCGGAGCTCCTCATCTTAATTATAAAGGTTTCAATTATTTTTATCCTAAACGGGTGTAATAAAACATTCGTACGTACATACGCATAAGAAATCGAAATCTGTCATTAGATTTTGATCAACTCGTGGGAAAAGTCACCTACGGCGATATCTGGGCATGCAAACGCCTACAATATTTTCATCTCCCTGTATGTCGACCTTTAAAATTAATAAAAAAATAATCTCAGTAGTTCTCCCAAGAAGCCTTTGCTTTCGTGATATTTTTCAAGTAGAATAACGAAAAACTGAAATACAAATGTAAGTTTGACGCCCTGTATGTCGACAACCGTCAACTTTTGGACTAAAATAAGTTGTATTAAATCGTCATATTTTCACCTCATTAATCCATTATTCTGTTCAAATTAGATGCGAAAACGGGGTAGCCAAAGTTCGATCAATATTGATTATCAACTCAAAACAGTTGAAGATGAATAAAGAAGATTTGTATCGAACAGGCCTAGAATTTTGCGTATAATTCGAATATGCAATAAAAAAAGCGGCATTCCATTTTTAAAAATATAGGTTTGGTCAGCCACTTGAATTTGAGACGCCCTGTATCAATCGGGTTTATCTTAAAATAAACTAGACGTTAATATCGACAAATTTTTAATTTAATATTTTCTCTAAATTTCAAATTATATGTACAAAGTGGGTAGCCAAAGTTCAATCAATAACTACTAAAGTTTACTTTCCTTGGAGAAACTATATCTAAATCGATCAAATTATCTACATTGTAGACACGCGAACCAGTCTACTGTTGCAAGCATATTATCTGAGGCAAGCACTAGCAAATTAATTCATCTGAGAACGTGAAAATGGTCGCAAAAGAACTACTGATTACTGAAGTAATTTTGAAGGCAGTACTGATAGGTATACCTATGTAGTAAGCAGGGATTAAGACCGTGTTGAGTTTCGTAAAAACATTTACGGACAGTTGTGACAAACCAGTGAAAGATTTTCCTTGATATCGAACTTTTGATGGGACTTCGTAAGTAATAGTTTATACAAATAATACATCTCCGTTCTAAAGAATTTGTTATTCGGAAAACTTCCTTTAACATCAAGCCGTGATCATCTAAACCTGAACATAAAGATTGATGTGCTCTGATGAAGTAAAGTTAGGTAGTTTCGAGATAAAAATCATGCAAAGAGAGTATTACATCAGCTTTGGGAACTTAATTGAAAAGCTAAATTTTGAAACATTGAATGCTTCAACTCGTTAGAATTACGAAAAGAAAAGTCCTATTAGTGGAATGGCTCATTTTTTTCTGGTTACGTTTTGATTTCACCTGTTAATTGTTCATTTATGTATAAACCAATTATGATTTGCGCAACGTTTGTTAATGGGAAAAACGCCGTTTGCAAGTGCAATCAAATACATTGTGACCAAATTACTATTTTGTTGTGAAAATTATTTTTTCTGCACTTCCTAAATACCCGATACAACACCCCTGGAAGAACTGTGCCAATTTTGAATCGCCTTGTGCTTACGAACAAAATAATGAATCCTTATGAGAAGAACAATTTAAGAATCTACATCGCCCTTTTTGATAAACATAATAAACTAAATAAACTCTTTGTAACAATACTAGTCTAACCACTATGCATGTAAAAACTTTTTGTTTTTATTATTGTTCATCACAAGAAGTTTGTCAAATTCCTTTTCCATGGCAAACCAAACCAGGACATAATGTGAGTTTTTTTTTATAGAAAATTCGTCTGATAAAATTACAACTGAACAGGGACAGTCGTCGGGTGCTGAGCGCCCGCTAACCGAAAATGATATCATCATAATTGATCCAGATACTCTTGAGTTGGATTTAAATCATGGAAGGATCGGCAAGCTTCAAAATCTGGAACCTCTCACCCAAGTCGAAAGGCTTTTCTTGAGATGGAACCTGATTACGAAAATCGAAAATTTAAGCACGCTTACCACTCTTAAAGAGTTGGAGCTATACGACAATCAAATAACCAAAATTGAAGGCCTGGACGCTCTCGTGAATTTGGAGTAAGTGCACGCTACTTTCATTATTAACAGAGACAGATTGCATATATCCTCTGTTTTAGGATTTTAGACATGTCTTTTAACAGAATACGCGAAATTGAAGGGTTAGATAACTTATTAAAACTGGAAAAACTATTTATGCCGTCCAATAAAATCAGCAAGATAAAAAATTTGAGTCATCTACAAAATTTGACCCTGTTGGAACTTGGAGATAATAAAATAAGAGTAAGTGTGATCAATAATGTATCGAATAAGCTTCCGTCTAACCAATTGATTTTTGCAGGAAATTGAAAATTTGGACGCTTTGGTATCATTAAAGTCTTTATTTTTGGGGAAGAATAAAATAACTGAGATCAAAAATTTGGATTCGCTTGTTAATTTAACTTGTTTGAGTTTACAAAGCAACCGACTTACGAAGATTGAAAATCTCGACAAACTCACCGAACTAAATGAACTATACATTTCTGAAAATGCCATTACAAAAATAGAAAACTTTAACACCCAAACAAAATTGGAAACATTAGATTTAGCACAAAATCTAATATCAATAATAGAAAACACTAAGGCTTTGGAGAGTTTACAAGAGTTTTGGGTGAGTTATAATAAAAAGCCGACATTGCCTGTTTGAACACCTGAAATTTATATTTGAATTGCAATGTTTAGCAGTAAGGGAGGGTCAATAAAACATGTTTTTGTTTTAGTTGAACGATAACAAAGTAAGTGATTGGAATACGGTGAATAATCTTTCAGTTCATAAGCATTTGGCAACTGTATACTTGGAACACAACCCTGTAGCTGAAGATCCAATGTACAGAAGAAAGTTAATGCTTATTGCTCCATCTTTGAAACAAATTGATGCTACTTTATGTCGCCAAGAGTAAGTTCAAAACCCCCATTTATTTTTGGAAAATTACTTCTGCCGAATTGATGAGTAATTTCTAAAATAGCGTTACGAAAATTTGTACTTTCACAGGGTCTCAGGAATTTCTATGTTTCAAAGCACTGTTTTTCACTATTGTTCTAGTAAATGAATATCAACAGACAGGATAATTAATTAGATGAGTGTTTCAAGTTACATAAACCGGAGACTAATTATTTCTATTATTTCAAGTTCAATACGAAAAATAAGCAATATTAAATACCATTGGAAACGGCTTTGGTTAATATTATAGTTTTCAAGTAGATAACATTAAAACAGAACTCGGGCGTGTGTATCAAACAGTATATTGAATGCCTTCGATAAAACAATATTATTTTCAGTGCATTATACTTTTTGTTTTTGTCGGTATCATTTTACCTGGGGTTTTATTTACGTTTAAGTCAATATTGCTTTGTTCACTTTCTATTCCATTAGTAACGTTAAGGAATGTAACTTATATGTAAATATTATAACATATAATTGTTTTCTTGTCTACTAATTTATATAATAGAAAATTATTATTAGCAAAAGCTATTATTTCGCCAAACTTTTTATATTGAAATTTCTTAAATATTTGTTCCTCTCATTCTTGATAACTGTAAATGTTTAATGGCTTCAGTAGCTTATAGAACATAGCACGATTAAAGTGAAAGAAATATAAAAAAATTAATAAGCTAGTTAATGTATAAAATGTTAAAACGCATGTGAAGTACTAGTTTATAAATCATTACCATTATTTATAATTATAGTAAATTTTCGATTCTGTTGTTTATTTCGGATTATTATTTGCAGTTTTAAATAAACCCGTCTCCAAGTACTAGTTTTTGTATATGCCTAATATAATGCTTTTTTAAAACATCTGTTGCATATTAAGTATGTCAAAATATTGAATAATTAATTTGAAATTGAAACATAAAATGATATTTTATATATTAGAATAACAAAAGAAGACTTTGACCTTTCAGACCATGGCTTTCGATGGTGTGAATATTATCAGGATTTAGTTAATACAAGAGATACATACATAGAACACGCTGAACTGAATTGATTTTCCTTGACTGTATCTTTCACTAACTTGATTACAAACATGGTATAATCGGCACGCATTTAATTTTACTCTGCAATTAAAACATTTATTAAAATAATGCCTTGGTGCTGCCTTATTCTTATTAGGTTTTATTTGACTATTACTTCTGAATAAGCCAAATTTGGACTTCTCTATTAATAGAAAGTTATTTAAAATTGAGATTTGCAAATAATCCAAAAACATAGAAACTGGTAGAATCAAAAACCGTTTTTATTTAGCTCTAAAGGTGTTTGTATTAAAATTAGAGCTTGAAGAAATAAAAATCGATAGTTTAATATATATCTAACTATATATAACTGCTCGTCTATTAATCTTTATAAAAGTATTGTATAGTTTATAAGTATCCCATATTCAACCGGAAAACAACGAAAATGATTCTTTGTTAGATTGTTCAAATCATAACAACACACTATAATAATCCCAATTTCTTAAATACATATTTAAAAAGGATTGGGAAACAATAAAGCCTATGGTGTCTGTCTTCAATATAATTATTTCTATCCGAATGTGTATACCAGTATCAATGATATATGCAGATAAATCAATATCATATAACTGTATCATTAAAATCGGAAATAGTAATTACAATTTGAAAAATTTATTGCTCGTTGCGTATGAATTATGAATTTGATAAAATATAATCCTTTCCAACCCAGCAACTATGGAAACATATACAGGAAGATTCAAAATTGGCGTCATGTCTCTGGAGCTAACAGACAACTCCAGGTCTGGCGGTGTTTTAGGAGTACAGAAAAAATAGTAAAAAAATTTATTGTTATTAAAAACTGAGAAATTTGCAAAAAGCTATATCAGAAAGACGGCAACAATGTTTTTCAAGGACTTCTGCCTAATTAACATTACGTATATACCTGTTGCTTCGTAATTATTAAAAACCGGTAACCATGGAAAAACACAGAGCCATAAGCGATTGGTTTAATGTGTCCTTGTGCTCTGTTACTTACTTAGTAGTAACTTATAACATACGTAGTAGAAATGTAGCCCTTCCTCGGTATTTGTTTGATGCCTGTGAAAGTTGTCAGTTGTTGTGCAATGCTCTGAGAGCCCCTGGAAGGCTCCGCTGCAATTGTGCCTGGAACCCAAACTTCAATTGTCGTCAACTTCCTGGAGCCAATCTCCAGTATCCAGCTCTTTGTTGGCGAGAGTTCTTACAGCTTCTGCTATATTAGTGTGGCATTTCCCCAGAACTAATCGCATATGCGCAAAATCGTGAAAGGAGCTTCAAAGTAAGTCACAGTTTGACAAAGGATATCTACCTGTTAATGACAAATTAACAAAATGACCATTAACAACCTTATCTGTTAATCACAAAAAATATCATTGCCACTTTGACTTTTCACCAAAAAAGTGCAGAAGATAATTTTTTCACTATAAAAATTTTTCGTAATTTGAAGCAAAGGTCGTAATTTTTCTTTTTGAATGCTTAGGCATTCCAATATGCTACCAATTAAACATGGAACTATTTCAAAATAATGCTTAATAACAAAATTGGAATTCGATTTTCAACTGAAGATATATTCTTGAAATTATGGAAAACAAATTTTCCAATATTTTTCTCGTACTATAAAAGTAAGCCCCTATTACCCGCTAAAAGGACTGACGCCAATTTTGAACCACCATATGTATTTTCACTCAATAAATAATAAGGCACTCAATTACAGACATCTCCATTATTATATACTATTGTAATATTGTAAATATATACAAAATTGGGTCGGTTATATTACAATATAATTACATAAAATCGTGAAAATAACACATGTATATTTTTTATCAAACATGACTTACATTATGTCTCGGTATTTTTTTTTGCCCTCTTTTTTGGTACGGTTCTTGATGGCGACCTAAAAAATAAAATTGTATTACAAATTAATATATTTTTTAAATAGAAAGCTTTGTTTTTAACTCGATTAAACTTGGCATACTGCGCTTTTGATACTACTTATTATATTTTCTACCCATATAAAATGTTGAAATGTTGATCTTTTATAGAATTAAGCATTTTCGATTGGAAAATTAAATAAAATTTTGGTAATTTCTAGCCTGAACATCTATGGCTAAAAATTGTAACTATGCAAATCTAAAGTAATTGCAAAGTAACTCAGTGCAAAGTTAATCATTAGATTTTTATCATCAATCAATATTTTTTTATTGATTCTCAAAAATTCTTCAAATAAGACACAGTATTCCTAAATGCAATTAAGCAAGGTTTGAGCAGAAAATAAACTACTACATTAAGTTTACTAATACAAATTATACAATCATATAACTCCAATGGAAAAACGTGGAAAATCTAATAATGACTGTATACAGTTCAGGCCTGGGTAACACAGTGAATTTTCCGGTGTTCACAAAGCGACACCGATACAGCTTGCCGTATTGACACAGCGCGCTACACTTTTTATATGCTGGGAAATAAAAACAGAAGACGCTGTGTTCCGTGGTGTCTAGTGGTTTGTAAGTTCGCTAGCTGTGCTTTTAAGTGGTGCAGCGTGTTTAATGTTTGTTTCTTTAGTTTTACGGAAGAGACTATGACGTGCGTTGCGTTGTTTAAATGAAAGGAATTAATAAAGCGGCAAGATGTTTTCTTCTTGTAAAGCCTATTTGTCTCACAAGTATCTGTGATTGGTTTCGAAGCTGCTGGGTCAGCCATAAATATACATTTGAGTCTTTAACTCCAAACAAGTTAGAGCCTGTGTAATCACCTGATTATCTACTCTTCTCGATCAGCTTCTAGTATTCGGTTAATTAACTCCTGCTCAATTTGTACCGGTGTTCAGTAAGCCATTGGTTTAATGTGTCCTTGTGCTGTGCGTCTCTTGCTACGTGGTAGGAATTTAGCCCTTCCTCGGTATTTATTTGGTGCCTGGGAGTGTCAGTTGTTAAGCAATGCTCTGAGTGCCCCTGGAAAGCTCTGCTGCAATTATGTCCAATACTTGTTTCTCTGTGTCTGGAACCCGAGCATCTATTGTCGTCCACTATCTTCTTGGAGCCAATCTTCAGTATCTCTTGCACTTTGTTGGCGTGAGTTATTACAGCTTCTGCTCTGTTACTGTGGCATTTCCTCAGAACTAATCGCATATCCGCAAATTCGTGTAAGGAGCTTCAAAGTAAGTCACAGTTTGATAAATTATTGTTATTATTGATAAAGGCCATCCACCTGTAACTGATGTAAAAAACATCATTGCCGCTTTGATTTTTCATCAAAAAATTGTAGAAGAAAACTTTTTTAATATATATAAAATTTTTTCGTAATTTGAAGCAAAGATCGTAATTTTTCTTATTGAATGCTTAGGCATTTTAATGTGCTACCAATTAAACATGGCGCAATTTCAAAATAATGCTTAATAACAAAGTTGAAATTCGGTTTTCAACTGTTAATATATTCTAGAAATTACCGAAAAAACTAATTTTAATATTTTTCTCGCACTCCAAGTGAGCCCCTATTACTCCTTAAAAGGAATGACGCTAATTTTGAATAATCTTGTCTATAGAATTTCTGTCAAATATGTTAAGTTCTTTGCATAAAATTTTCGTACCTTGGCCTTTCGAGCCTTGGCTTTTTAAAAATAGTTTAAAGTAAGAAAAATTGAGGAGGCTTTTAGCGGCTCTAGATTCGTTTAATACAAGGTTATCCATTTTATGCTTGGAAAAGTAAAGTAAAAAAAACACACCCACAAAATATTCAGATGGAGACGAAAATATTAATTCAATATAGATTTAAAAAAAAATTAAATACGTGAAAAACAATATAATTTAAATGTCCGCCACGGGACCTCCTACAGGCCTTTTGAGGTAATTTTGAATGACTTCGGCACATTACAAGTAATATCTCGGTCATAACGGATATTGGCTTTCAGTTGCTCAAGAGTTTGAGGAATGTTGGCTTAAACACGATCTTTTGCAGTTCGCAGGATCTTGCGGGCCATTTGACACCACTCAATCTCGAAATTACGCGTCCTAGAAATTTATCATCCTCAGCCTCATCGCTGAAGAAAATTCGGTTCGAAAAATCATCATCAACGGCTTGTTGTTCAATCACCCAATTTGCGTATGTTCTGCGTTGCCCATGGTCTTGAGGCTAAAGTTCTTGAGTCAGATGGACTTTATACGGATGGATCTTCAAATCCAATTGCAAAATTCGCCACAATGAGCCGTAAGACAAGCACAAATATTGAGCACGTCGGGGAATTGACGAATTCGGGTCTTCCTCTACACTTTGAGGAAAAACAGCGATATTTTCAGCTGAACGAATGTTGCGATAATGCACAGGCCTTACAATACTAATGTTGTTAATATACAGGATGATTCAAAATTGGCGTCATTTCTTTTACGGGCTGATAGGCGCTCACTTGGAGAGTACGAGAAAAATATTGACAACTGCAAAATTTGAAGAAGATATTAACAGTTGAAAATCGAATTTCAACTTTGTTATTAAGCATTATTTTGAAATGGTTCCATGTTTAATTGGTAGCATCATGTTGGAATACTTAAGCATTTAAAAATAGAAATTACGATCTTTTCTTCAAATTACGAACATTAAGTTCTCTTATACCAATTTTTGATGAAAAGTCAAAGCGGCAATGATGTTTTTTGGCAATTGACAGATAGTTACAGGTAGATAGTCGTTGTCAATAATAACAAGCGTTTGTCAAACTGTGACTTACTTTGGAGCTCAATTTACGAATTTGCGGAAATGCGATTAGTTCTGGGGAAACGGCACAGTAACATTCCAGAAGATGTCAGAACTCACGCCAACAAAGGGCTAGAGACATTGGAAGATTGGATCCAGGAAGATAGTGCACGACAATAGATGTTCGGGTTCCAAACACAGAGGAACAAGTATTGGAGATAATTGCAGCAGAGCTTTCCAGAAGTACTCAGAGCATTGCACAACTGACACTTTCCCAGGCACCAAATAAATACCGAGGAATGGATAGGATAGGAAAACATTCCTACCACGTATGTAAGATACACAGGACACATTGAATATCTGGTTTACTCAACACCGGTACAAATTGAGCAGGTTAATTGACCGAATACGAGAAGCTGCTCAAAATGTGAGCCCAGGCTGCTGCCAAGAGTGCACAAACATGTTCGGAGTTAAACGAACTGAACTTCGTCGAACATGCGATTTAACAACTTTTGTTGACATCTGTGGCCGTATACCACTCTTTTAATTTTTTTATTTATCCTAACCTCGAAATATTAAATTGCCAGTTTCCCTTTCGTTGTTTTGTGTTTACCAATGGTTCTACAGTCGGAAATAATTGAGACGCAACAGGTATTCACGCAACGTTAATGAGGCAGATTTTCTTGAAAAACATTGTTGTCATACTTCTGGTCTAGTTTTTTGCAAATACCTCAGTTATTAATATCAATTAATTGTTTTAACTGTTTTTCCTGTATTCCCAAAACACCCCCAGATGACTGACGCCAATTTTGAAGTACCCGGTATTTTAGACCCAATGCGTGTTTTTTACAAATCATGTCTTTATTTCATTATTAGTTAAAATTAATATCAGATTTCGGTAAACACAATTAAACAACACTGCACTTCAAATGTTATAAGGAAAACATTCAAATAATTTACGGTTGTTAAATTAACTCATTAAATATTTAAACTCTATGTAAACTTACTCATCAGATGTAGAATCTGATCTCAATGCTTGTATTCTTCGAGAAGACCGTCGCGTGTCAACTTGGCTGTAGTCGGCTAAAATACCCATCTGTATATTTCCAAAACAAGAAAACACATTAATTAGAATCAGTACAAACAATATTATCTTATAGCGAAATGACAATATTTTGGATCCGAGACTCTTGATCTACTCACAGTGTGGAAGTTCAAAAGGCTTATACAAGTCTAGTTAAATTGTGTCAGTTGGAATTGATTGTTTGATGTCAAAACAATATGAAACTGAATAATATCTTTGAAAAGTGACGCATTGGGCGACATGCAAACGGTATTTCCTAACTTATATAAGTTAATGTCCTAAATCTAGTCCTAAGTTCCTAAAGCTGGTGCTGCTATGATGCACAATAGAAAAAGCTTGTTCTCTAAATATGTGCAGGAACTGGTTTTTTGGGAAACCTTCAGAAAGAATATTTTTTGGTTTACCTTATGGCAATAAATGCATTAAAATATCTGCCGTGAATTTTATTACGGCCTTCTTTCAATGGCCTTTCTTTCAATGGCTTTTTAAGATTAAAATTAAAATTCAAGGTAATAGTGAATTTCGTCTTGAAAAACTCATCGAAAATGGATACTTAAAATGTGTTTATACGTAGTCACTCAATATCAGGTCAGTCAATAAAATTAGGACCAGGTAATGGTTTCGATACTTTCAGAATACTGATATGAGCAGTATCGCAAGACGATTTGGTTACTATTTATTTGAGTAAGTATCGATACTTTCTCAGTATCGTATCGTCCCTACTTACTTGGCACTCTGAAGGTTCTATAATTGTGTGCAACGTTTGATCTGATGTGTCAAATTCATTGACGACTAGGCTATTTGTTGCATCGTTGGACGGCAATGTTCTGCCTCTTAATTTTTTTCTTTTCACTTGAACGGAAACTGCATTTACAATGCTCTTCGTGCCGTTTACTATAAAACACCAAATACTTTTATTAAATATTGAGTGATAAAACTTACAAGACACACATAAGAAGGTTGTTTGAGCTCAAGCACATGTTTCTCGCACTTTGATAATAATTAAGTATATACTTTAATAAAACGTTAAATTAGAATCAACCTCTAATGTTATTATATCGTAATAACAATCAATATTGAAAATATCTTCAAACTTACCTCGGGTTACAACTGAATCTCTAGCATTTCTTTGTGAGCGTCGCAAGTTTACCGTTGAATCTGAACTGGAAGACACGCTTTGAGATATCGACAAATCGATGTTACTCACTTCAAGGTTATTTGTTTTAATACCATTGACTGAAAAAAGTTATCAAGTAAAAAAATATAGTACAAGCTAATAAATATACTCAGATTCTGTTAATCTAAAATTTTAAATATACCTCCGTTTAATTTTTGTTTGTCAAGTAGCACTCTTAATTCTTTGCAAATTATTTTGTTGTCAACCTTTGCTTGAAATCTATTAGATCTCAGGTTCCTCTGGCTAGTGGGAATAACGTCGGAAGAAGATCCAGAAGAGAAAGATCGGGATTTTGACGTTATTGTTTGGGATGTTTTACATAGTGTTGGACCAGCTTGCTGGTTTTTCCTAGATCTTATTGCACTGCTCCTAAGAGAGAATCTGAAATATAAAAAAATATAATGAAGGTGTAGAATAACCGTGAATGAAAAAGTTAACATAGAAATTATTGCTTTTTTTCTTACTAAAAGTACTCGGAAAAAATATTACAAAATAATGCAACTAAACACTTTAAAGCTGTAAATCAGCTTCTGCATATATTCAGAAAAAAAATTGTCAAAAATTGATACTAATTTAAATTTAAAAAACTTTATGTACCTTTCAACATTCATATTCGTCAACTTTTTTCTCTTGCTTGGTGGAATGTTTTCCGTATCGGTGCAGCTATTTTGATCCGCGGATTTAGTACTATTTGATTCTTCAATAACTACACTTAAAGGGCTTGATTGTTGTAGAAGCATCCTATTCTGTGTATGTGTTTGATTTGAGTCGCAACTCACGCTTGTTCGGACTGTGGAATTTTCGGTTAATTGGAGCGATTCTGTATTGCCATTTGTACAAATCGATGCATCTGCGCCAAGCCTTGCTGCAAATTTTTGAACTTCCTGTCTAGTTCCTTTTTCCAGAATTGTCTATAAACAAAGCATATCTATAAAGAATACTGAACATATTGCTAATTACTCCGAAAACATTTAAATATCATCTTAGAAAAAATTATAAGTCAATTATTGCATATATTGGGTAGTCCAAAGTTAAGTGGCATTTAAGAGTGCTGTAAGATGGAAGATAAAATTTATAATATGGCCTCAAACGTGCTGCTGTCGAACTACAGGGTGTTGCAAATTTTATTTTCCTTTATATGCGGCTATATGTAAGCAACAGTAATATCGTATATTACTGCAACGAATTGGGCTACTGAACTGAACTCATGCCCCAGTTTTACCAATACTCGTGTTTACTGGTTTACCCTGACTGCAGACCGAAACATGGAAGTCGGAAGAAAACTTTATGTATGCTACATCGATTATACGAAGTAATTCGATCGAATGCAACATGAAAAATTAATTGAAGTACTTACTGAAATAGGGCTAGATGGAAAAGATATTATAATCATACGAAACATACGGAAACCATAAGAAATGCATCCGAACGGAAAGGGGCAACACGGGATATGTAGACATACAGAGAGGTGTTAGGGAGGGGTGCATATTATCATCAGTGCTCTTCAATATATACGCGACGAATGCATAGACCGGGGGTCTCTTCGAAACTTTACAGAGGGTGCCAAAATAAACGGAACGATTATAAACAACATAAGGTATGCTGACGACACGGTGATATTGGCTGAATCAGAGGAACAATTGTAGACCCTGTTGGACACATACCATCACCTAAATAAATAGATTGGGATTGGATAACAAATTGTTATATTTATAACAATAAACGGAGTACAACTTGAAACAACGCGGCAGTACGCTTACTTAGACAAGACATAAATAGCCAACTAGATCACTCCAAAGAAATCAAAAGGAGAATCGAGATGGCTAGGGCAGGTTTCCTTAACATGACAAAGTTTTTATGTAACAAAAATTATCAATAGCGACGAGGTTAAGGACACTGAAATGCTACGTATGGTCCCTACTTTTATACTGCTGTGAAACATGGACAGTAAAACAAGACGATATAAAGAAGTTGGATGCCTTGGAAATGTCTGGAATAATTCTTGGAATAGTACCGCCAAATGTTTAGGATAAGCTGGACCTCCAGAACGACTATCAACGAAGTGCCAACAAGAATGAACACCTATGCACCCCTGACTGGCACACTGAAACGGGGAAAACAGCCTACCTCGGACACGTTTTTTAAGTCCCAAATACAGATAAACCAATTTTCAGCACTATGTTTTTCGATAATGCGACGTTTGATGGGTCCTATAATAAAGTATTTTTCATTATTATTATTTATCTGAAACGTCCCACGTGAGACCTGATTAGGGGCTTTTAGTACTAAATAGTAAAAAATGTAAACACTATATTTCGATAAGTTGCATTGCATCTTTAATTTACTACAAACCCGTGAAGTTATGACTATTATAGTTACGGACAGTCGGTATAAATGAGCAGTTGCACAAAATAGATTTCTCTCAAAGCACAAAGAGTATGAAATTAATTATTCAATAAGTAAGTCTTGTTGTACAACTTACGCAAATAAGTGGACTTACCTTTTCGAGCAACAGTTCGCAATTTGTGACTAACTCTTTTACAGCTACATCATTACTATGATTTATATGTAGATATTTCAACATTTTTGCAAAATAAATGGTTGATAATTCAGATGGTCTAGAAGACATTTCTTGCACCAAAAGATCAGCTACTTGTATATGGACATCAACTGAGGACTAAAATATTAATAATGTGGTGGCTACCGGCCGCTCAAATAAATGTTAGCCACTTACATTTTTGGATCCGACATCTGTAATAGCTGATAAAAATTTTATTACATTTACCATATCAATGTCAACTAATAAACTCGACCGCGGAGCTTCGCAGAATTTGTTAATTATTGGAACAATGGCTCTTGCTACCACTTCTCTAGCGTTCTCAACTCGAGTAACATAGAGATTGACAATAACACCAATTATTTGTTGAAGCGCCCCTTCTGGAAGAATATTTACAAACATACATATAAACTATATCTTAAAGTTAATACATTGACTTTAAGAACTACTACTGAAATGGATGAACATTGATGAATGAATGATGAATTTCCATTTCATGGAAAACTATATACTGTCGATTTACTTTTTTATATCGAATATATTGATCGGTATATTTTACGAGTATCTGAAAATCAAAGCAGACAATTCAACACATAGTTAATTAAAACACCAAACACCCATTTCGGTTAGAAAGATGTTTTGATATACAGGGTTGCTCATTAGTGCGTCAAAGTGCGATATCTCAGTAAATATGAACTTTACAAGAAAATACGTCCTACGAAAGTTTTTCATGTTTAAAAGGTCCACATTTTAAAATTACTTTCCAATATACGGGGTGTATCATAAACGTGTGGTAGTTACCAACTTTGGTTTTTTAAATGGAACCGCAACTTTTTTCATTCATTTTCAGATTTGTCGTCAAAATTTAAGTTAAGTTTGTGTCAAACGTTTTACCTGAAAAATTTGCGATTTCCGAGTTATTCGTAAAAATGTGAAAGTTTTGACAGCTACTGGGTTCCACAGAAATCGATGCTGTACACTACCCGATGCGAATTTTGGAAAACAGTTTTCAGCGATTCTAACAGAACATCATGATCTACGCGTAGATATGTTTTAAATTATAAGGAAATACTTCTAAACCG